CGAGTACGGATTGCGAAAGCGTGGGCACGGTTTATGAATTTGTGGGTACAGATTGCAAAAACTGAAGGCACGGTTTACAAATCTGAGAGCACGGATTGGGAACTCGAGGGTACGGTTTATTAATCCGTGGGCACGAATTGTTAAACCGAGGGAACAGTTTAAGAATTCGTGAGTACAGTTTATAAACTGAGGGGACGGATTGCAAAACCGTCGCCTCGGATTGTTTTTTTTTCCCCCACAGGTGACTTCCCGGGCTCCGTACTATTTACACTATTGTAAATAGAGTTTTAAAAAAATTACACGAGTCACGACGCATTGCATTATGCATCTGACCTGCCGGCTGATGATATTTAAAACATCGAGAAAACACGAATACAACACACTGCACTTGGATGAATAAATGTATTCGCTTTATTTAATAATATTACCAGTTCCATATTATCTTTATTAAAAAATAAGGCAATATGGTTTTATTTTTTTAATTAGACTGCATTCTTGTCAATTTCTAAATGTATACTTTTTGATTTATGAATTATAACAGACTGATGGGGGGGGGGGGGAATATTACTTTTTAAAAATTGGTTTTATTATTATTTAGCAATTTCTTGCTTTTTGTTAGTTTTTATTAGTTGTAATTTTTATATAAACATTTAACTTTTAAAATAAAGGTTTTACAACAACATCACCATCTTCTGTTATATGTGGGCCTCCATGTTCATCTATTGTACAGTATATGATATTGGTGGAGGGTGGTGGGGGCCCACATCAATATTTTTTTCAGGGGGCCCCGAATCCTCTAGCTACGGCCCTGCATAGTCCACTATGGATGTATTATTTTCTCTATTTGAATTGAAAAAAGTGCTAGTGGGATTGAAACATACTTCTCCATGAAAGGATGAAGTATGTTGTGAAATAATTAGAAACCTATCAGATATATCATTGAACATTATTTTAAGACTTTTTAACAGGATATGAATAGAAGGAAAGCTTCCGTCTACTTGGAAACATGGAGTCATTGTTCCAGTAGCGAAGCCTGTAAGGATCATTCTAACAAATTATAGGCTTTATAGGCTAGTGATTCTTAACATACAAGATTATCTCAACATTATCTCTGCAAGATAATGGACAGAATGGTTGTTTCATGGCTAGTTTGTGAGGTTGAAAGTAAGATTATGATGTATCCTCACCAGAGTGGTTTCCAAAAAGGGAGAAATACAATGGATTCAGTTATATGCCTAGAAACAGAAATCAGAAAAGCAATAGTAAATAAAGAAGTTTTATATGGTGTATTCTTTAATATTGAGAAGGCATATGACATGATGTGGAAGAGGGCCTTTTAATGAAAATGGAGAAAATGGGAATTAAAGGAAGGATGTATAACTGGGTAATGGATTTTATGATGGATCGTTCTATTCAGGTTAGCGTGGGATCATCATATTTGAAAGTTTACACAATTGATAACGGTACACCTCAAGGTAGTGTTTGTAGCCCTAATTTATTTTTTACATGATTAAAGTTGGAACAGGAATCTTTGTATGCAGACGATGGAAAAGAGGAAGAAATGTTAAGAAAGTTGAAGGAAAAATGCAGGAGGCTATTAATGAAGTTGAAAAACAGCTGGGGATTCAGATTATCATAAACAAAACTCATGTTTGTTTTTCAAGAAAGAAAAAAGATCAAAAATAAGGTTGTACAAACAAGTTTTAGAACAAGTTTCAGAAATCAAGTTCTTAGGAATATGGATTGCAACATTTGGATTGCATATTCAAAATATAGTAAATAAATGTAAGAAGGGAACTAATAAACTCTGATGGTGTTTAGATTGGGGAGTAAACCAGACCTCATTAAGAAGAATATATGGTGCAGTAATAAGATCTACAATAGATTATGGCAGCATTGTTTATTCTTCCGCATCAGCATTGCAGATAAAAAAGGTTGAAAGTATGGGTTTAAGAATTTGCTGTGGGGCTTTTAGAACATCATTAGTAGTGGCGTTACAGGTGGAAATGGGAGAAATGCCTTTGGTAAATAGGTGGCAACAATTGAAAATGGTTTACTGGATATCAGTAAGGACACAAGAATAGTCACCCTGTTAAAGATGTTCTTATACGAACTGCTGGGAATATGAATATTCACAAGTATGCAGTTTCAGATTGGATGCTAATAATGAGGCACAAAGAATGGGAATTTTTGATCATGAAAATAGTCAGACACATTGGCAAAATCAGCTCCATGGTTATTCCCAATGCCATTTCTTACTGGAAGAAATAAAAAGACCCTCAGAGAAAGATTTCTAAAGATTTGTTGGTGAAACAATATGTACATCAAGAGATCATTCATACATTATTGTACTCAAATATAAACTGACCGCTCAAAAGATCGGGTATACATCTGCAACAGTAATTCCACAGCTAGACTTTAAAATACGTAAAAGAACATCTAATTTCATATCAATTTATTCCTCAGAATTGATTGCTACTCAATTGGCCCTTCAATGGGTGGAAGAGGTACATTTGCCTCAAGTTGTTATTTGTTCTGATTCTTTATCAAGCCATATAAATCTAAAAAAAGGAAAATCTGACTCAAGACCCAACATTCTCGTAAAAAAACTCTTCAGATCCTGTTTAGAATTTATCAGTCAGGAATTAAAGTCTTATTTTTGTGGATTCCTGCTCATGTTGGCATTGTAGGAAATGAAATAGCAGATGAGTTGGCAAAAAAAGGCTTTAAAGTATACAAGAATAAATGTTAATGTCCCTCTGGGGAAAGCTGAAATAAATGTCTTAATTAAAAACATAATTAAGAATAGATGGAAAGAGATGTGGACACAGGAAGGAAAGGGAAGACACATATGCCCACATTGTGACGGCCCAGATCCGGCCCACATCTGGCACATGAGGAATGATGATCTGGCCCACATGCAGCGTGGAATGAAGGCCAGATCTGTGGTCTCATTAATAAAATGGTGCGTAGGATCCTTACTAAAAGTGTACGTGCGCCCGAAAGCCAAAAATGGTGTACACCAAAAAATATTCAGACTTATAAAACCCTGCGTACGAAATTCCACAAAATCCACCCCGTCTCCTCCCCGAAATAACCATATATGGAGCTTACAATACCTAGTTTTACTATGCATATCCTCATCTGCATATCATTTGCATATGCATATTCATCCACGTTATACCATGTTTAACGGTACAAGACATTAGGAAAATATGAGATACGGATCTGCCGTCACATTACATTGCTAAAAATCATTATCATAGTATCAAAATCATAGCAGCCTATCCTTGCCTTGTTTTTGAATAAATAAATCAAATAGTATAAAATACATTTCAGTGAAAGTTTTTCTCAATCTTTTCCACTGGCCAAAGAGTATTTTTAATTGCTTTATATTTTTGGGACAATAATATAAAGTAAAAAGAAAACATATTATAAATTATAAATTGCTTTATATTTTTGGCCCATTTGGGACAGGTCCTTACTGTCATACCGTTACTACAGTTTGCTTGCTATCTATGTCTTTGTCACGTAAATGCATATTACCTGGTTGCGATAATTTACAGAACAGTTTGGTCTCATTTGAATTTCCTAAAACGATGATATCAAGAAGAGGTGGATTCATTTTGTGAAGAACCACCTTGATGGAGAGCTGAGGATCACCACCAACACCCGCCTCTGCAGTGAACGTTTTACAAACTTCCATCGGAGACAACTGGGATTCACTGATAATCCACTGCTCTGGTAGAATAGTAGAATAGAAGCCTCCAGGCACTGTTATGTACAAATGAGCGGCCGGATCGCATTAAAGGGATACTCCACCCAAAAATGAAAATTCTGGGCACCATTGACTTCCATAGTAGAAAAAAAAATACTATGGAAGTCAATGGTGCCAAAGTTCCAATTGCTCTTCAAAATATCTTCCTTTGTGTTCAGCAGAAGAAATAAACTCATACAGGGTTGCAACAACTTGAGGGTGAGTAAATGATGACAGAAATTTCATTTTTGGGTGGAGTATCCCTTTAAGGATTTTCTGTTAGAACGGTGTCCTGTAAGCGGCCCCTAAGTTAATAGCTAATGATCTTTGCAACGGAAGTGAATCAATCAAAGCTAACTTTAGCTGGACAACAACTTTATTCTAGAGCTGCTGTAAAGCCAAAACAATCTCTGTTACTTTAAATTTCCTATTATCACTGTAAAGCTGCTTTGAAACAATCTATAGGCTATTATTAAAAGCGTTATATAAATGAAGGTGACTTGACTTGGTGAATGGGGCCGAACCGACTATCGTATAATCATGTAAACTTCAGTTTATACTGTTTTAAAGTAATTTACATCCTGTACACAATGTTTTGAATTTTTTTAAAAAGGATATCAATCTGTGTTGTGGTGTGAGGTCAAGTTTCATTTAGGAATCATCAATGGAGCATGAATGGCACCTAGTGGCCTTTGTTGGTATAGCGGGTCACAAAAAGCTAATCTTTTTAACTTGTCTCAAATTTGGAACACAACTTCTTTAGACTTATGGCTTTCATTTCATTTCATGTAAAAACATTTTTTTTTTCACACACACACACACACACACACACACACACATATATATGTATATATATATATATATATATATATATAATTTTTATTTTATTTATTTTTTTGCAGACATCTGTGCAAGAAACAAAGTGATTCTTCTTTAAAACAAGACCAGAATGAGGTTAATACTCCAAAACGTTCCAGAATTACATTCATTTGAACCTCGACAATACCTTTGCAGGTCTACACTCAAAAATGGGCGTGAAAGTTAACAGGTTACATTTGTATTTATTATTATTGTTATTATTATTTTTATTTTATTTCCATTCTCAGTCAATGCTTCAAACTCCACCCCAGTAGGTGGCGAAAATGCACCTAAGCTGTTTTGCCAACTGCCATTAAATTCAAAAGAAGAAAAAGAGGCAGGAACTTATATAGGACAATGTCAATATTCCAGTCCAGGCAGTCAGTCAGAGAGGGAGGGTTTATTCAGTGAGCACCATCTGGAAGGGCCTCTGCTCTTCACTGTTTAGTTACATCGTGTCTAGTGTCAGAACAGACAGAAGTAAGTGCAGGCTTGTGCTGACAGCTCATACATACTCATGATGAACTGATGGAGGAGCTCAGGTAAGAGAAATAAAGCGACAGAAATGTCATTGCAGTCGGTCATTGAAGACTCGCTGTATACAGAGTTCATTTGTGTATGTATGTGAACAGACATGCAGAAATACAGAGTTTAAGCGTTTGAAGATGTTCGGGTGTGTTTCTGTTTGCTCCCCGGTGCTTGTTTGTCAAGTGTTTGACGCTGTTTAACACACATCCATGTGTGTTTGTTTGACTGTAACTTTACTTTCTGTTCTGCCGGTCAGTAGTGAAGGTGACACGGGTGAGCAATGACAGAATGACAGCTCAACCTCATTTGCGTCTGTGACTGGTGCAAAATACAACATTTGCATTTACCATGGTAACAATAGCTTTCCTTATATCGGTTTCGTAGTTTCCATGTAATGCTAAAGTAATTATTTCAATTACTGTAAAAGTGTAATAAATGAATATGGGGACTACCTAAGAATCTTTCATTATCTTTGTTGTTTTTTATGATGACAGTGCACACAAATCTGTATAGTGTAGGGTTCTGTGGTGAAATCTATGGTTAGGCTACCATGGTATATTTTAAATTGACTGTGTGAATTCGCTTTTTATGTAATAACCATGTTTTTTTCATCTTAAAGTATTCACATTTAAAATACTAATAAATGCCAATAAAATACTAAAATGTAATCACTGCATGTGTATATATATATATATATATATATATATATATATATATATATATATATATATATATAAAATTGTATATTGTTTCATTACATATTACTTGATATTATATTATGGTTTAATATGATATATTTTCTATTAAGGCAGGATTAGCTGTAGAAGCAGGACATTTCTAGCCTGGGAAAACCCAGACAACTTCCGGCAAATTTAGATTTGCTCTGCAAGTTAGTCTGGCAAAGAGCTCATTCAAGCCCATTTCTAATCCGTCGAAATCGCGGCACCAATCAGAAACGTTGGGGCGGGCTATACACGATGACGACAGCACAGCGACGGTGAAGCAGATTTTGTAAATTTACAAAGATAGATGCTGCCGTGGAACTAGGGGTGTGACGGTTATAGTTGAACACCGTCATTAGAACTCTATAACCGCCAAAACCATGTTATTAAAATATTTTTTTCACAAAAAAATTGTATCATAGAGAATGTTAAAACTCTAACATCAGCTTACGAGGGAAACGGAGGCGGAGTTAGTGGTGCTTCGGAGGCTACTACTGCTGGAGATGATTCGGGAGAGGTCTGTGCCACTTTACCGATCAGAGCGCGCGCTGACACGGAGTAAAGCCTTGTTTATACTCGACGTGTCCGCACGAGCGCGAAGGTCCGCGCGGCAAGAATGGCGCGTTCGGTGCGCAAGACCCCCAACGTTTCTCAATATGCTTTCTTGTCTGTACTTGTGTTCTTGTGGACTTGTGAAACGTCATCAGTCACTGCCCAAGTACTGTTCCAATTCAAAGTTCATATCTAGCCAAGTCAAGTTCAAATCCCCGGATGTGTTCTTGATCCGCCCCGTTTACCGAGGATCAGAGGATGCATCGAGAGGTAGTCTCAGCCTCAGACGTCACGCCCACGGAACGTTGGCTAAACGTCTGATGCATATGGTACACTTAACTGGAAACACTTCAGGAATGTTGAAGTCGTCATCTGATTGGTTGAATTTTATCGGATTTCCGGGGGGCGCGAGTGTCGCGTTTGTTTTCGGTCCGCCGGGAAACAAAGCGCAGACGTGCGATTGCGGAAGAAAAATTGTTGTGTTTACATGAGTGACAATGAGCATAATCAAGATCAGCTAAACGTAGGATTCTCAAAAGTATGCGAGGTTCACGGCATAGACTCTTGAAGTGTTCTTCTCCTTCTTTGATTTTCTATGCTGACTGACTTGTTGCACGCAGGTCTGTTGTTGTGGGGACATTTCCACGCCCCGAAACGTGACGCTGAACGAAACGATCTGTAATTTGTTGTTTTACATGTCGGTCAAACGGCCTTATGGGCGGGCCTTTGCCAATGAATTCCAGACCTTCAGCCGTCAGTCTGAAGGTCTGGCTACGTGAGACTAATCGAGAGGTGACTTGTGCGGACTTGAGACAGCCACAGGTATCCCAGAATGCATCTCGCACCAACCAGCAAGCGTCAATAGCAGAGGAGAAAACCCGCGTAATATCAAAATACTGCTGTTATTGTGTCATGAAATGTAATTTTAAGAGTGTTTCAGGCGAGAATGTGGTTGTTTAAAGCTCAAATCTGTGGTTTATTTATAAAGATAGCGCCTATTTGAAAAATGTATCTGACGTTTTCGGAGTTGTGACATCCAGGCGTTCACCGCGGGTGTTCAACGCTCATCAACCCAGACTGGAGCAGCTTTTCCTCGGCTAGTGCTTCTGACGTTTGCCGCTGGCTCTGATGTCTCTAGTCTAGTGGATAAACTTGACGTATAATTCGTCTTGTGTATAAGTCGATCTTTGGTCTCATTAAACTATTGTTTGTTCCATCTTTTTGGCTGAGGGCAAAGTGAAGTTTCATAACTTTATATATTTAGGCTATTTAACTTTAACTTTGTAGCCTATTAGAGAGCTTACTTATGTTTGAATTGTTTGCCTTATTTATCATTGTAGATATTATTGATCATTAAAACTGACATTTAACAAAAAGAGACAGGGTTGTGTAATTTTATTTGATATACTTTAAAATATATATATTTATTTTAACATTCTCTTCACTATATGTACAATAAAATAAAATGACACAACCCTGTCTCTGTTTGTTAAATGTCAATAAAAATCAATAATGTTTCATATTTTTAAAATAAAAACAAAAAGATCATGTTCATGTTGTTATAAATATATGCAGAGAAGATAATGTACGCGTTGCCTAAACCACATGGCCATTAGGCTACTATGTTTAAGATTTTTAAATGAAAAGAGGCAGAGTGGTGTTTTATAACATATTTCGTTTTATTGTTGACGAAAAGAGGCAGAGTTGTAGCATATTTCGTTTTATTGTTGCCTAAAATATACATAAAGAGATAACCAGAGCGTGCTGAGTGACGCGATCAAGAACGCACTGTTCCATTTGCAGAATAACTGGACTCGCGTCCTCTCGTCCTCGGGAGTTCGTTCTCCTGAGTCAAACTTGGCAAGTCCGAACTACCAAGGACGCAAGTCCGAAGTTTGCTACTTGGTATTGAGAAACGGCTGGCTTGGCTGTGTGCATGGCTTTTTTTGTAACAGCGCGCGCGACGCCGCATCCGAGAATGAATGGCTTCAAGCCGAATCTGCCCGAGCATTACGGTAGAGATCCACTTTTGCGACACGACTGTAGCGTGGTGTCGCGACGCCTCCCCACATTTGTACTTTGATGGGCGTTCCTCAAGTTTACCGCTATGGGTGTGGTTTTGAGCCAGCGCCAGTCTAGAACAGAGGACCTGCGAGAGACTTCCCCCCGTCTCCATATGCTCTGCTTCTATTGGATAGTCGCGTCGCGTTCAACGGAATTCATTTGCATAAAGATGGGCATCGGCCAGCTTTTTGACGCGCATCATTTTTCCAAATGAAGCGCCGCCTTCCCGGGATGCTTTATTCCTATGGGTGACGTCACGCGACTTTAACGCGCCCGCAAAGCATCCCGGGAAGGCGGCGCTTCATTTGGAAAAATGCTGCGCGTCAAAAAGCTGGCCGATGCCCATCTTTATGCAAATGAATTCCGTTGAACGCGACGCGACTATCCAATAGAAGCAGAGCATATGGAGACGGGGGGAAGTCTCTCGCAGGTCCTCTGTTCTAGACTGGCCGCTGGCTCAAAACCACGCCCATAGCAGTAAACTTGAGGAACGCCCATCAAAGTACAAATGTGGGGAGGCGTCGCGACACCACGCTACAGTCGTGTCGCAAAAGTGGATCTCTACCGTTAGGCTACGTCTCACCGCACCGGCACCCAGTTTGCGCGTCTAAATTGCAAAGTTCATGGCAAAGTTTTTTTGTTAAGGTTTTGTTTACTGTGTGTGATTTATTTAATGGAAAGCACATTCACTTATAGTTGTCTTGCTGTTAATTTTAAATAAACGTAGATAACGTAGCTAATCAGTGTCTGCTCGTTTATTCCATAGACAGTAAAAGGTTTATTCAAACCAGAGAATGTCTAATATGGGTTCAAACTAAGTTGTTCTATAACAGACTAACGTCGCTCTGCATACGTCATCTCCTTCATCGCTCTGATTGGTTTTAGGTCTATCCAATTGCGCCCAGAGGCATTTGAGCTACGTCCATTGGTGACGCCCCTTTGGAAATGATTTGTCTATGAAGCTTTGCCAGACCATAACTCAGTTACAACTGAGAATGGTCTGGTTTTAACCAGGCTAGGACATTTCAGAAAAAAAAGAAATAAATCAAAACTGCTGCAGCCATTTGCTTTGTTTTCTCAATTATATCTTTGTCTTTTTGTGCCATAGTTCAAGGCTTAAAAATGGATGCTTCTCTTCTTGAATCTCCTCTGTCGTCCCCAGCATCCCCTCTCCCCACAGCGTTCTCTGCGTCTGGGCACACCATCCATCCAGTGTCCTCCTCTTCAAAGCCTAGCTCCTCCCCTTCAGCAATGACACCACCCCCACACCTTGCCTCACAGACAGGTCGATCCCAGCTGAATGCAGCCAGCACTGCCTTTCCAGGACAATCATCTTTTCCTCCACAGGGTACAGATTCAGATTCACACACAATTCATGCTCGTAATCAACCCGATCTTATGGGAAATAATTATTTTATGAGGTGGCGATTAAGCATGAAAGTCCACCCCTAAACATGCCCAAGCACCGCTACAAATTCTAATTCCCATTCATATACAAGTTTTTTTTTTTAAGTTCACCTCAGTGATCAGGAACAAACTTCCTGTTTCACTGGGCTCTAAATATGAAGTGACACACCAACCAAATTCTAAGTCATCCATCACTATGAGAAAGACCTGAGAATACATTAATGATTTGTCAAAAGGTTGTGGAGTTATATATATATATATTTATATATTTAGTGCTGTCAAACGATTAAAATATTTTATCGCATTAACACATGAATGTCATAGTTAACTTGCAATTAATCGCACATTTGTATCTATTCTAAATGTCCCTTGATTTCTATTTGTCCCATTATTTTTTTCTAATTTTAATGCTCTTATCAACATGTAAAAGTGGATCGGCAGTAAGTTTGTTCTTAGCTGTGGTATCCATGTGCTTCTGTCTGAAGTCATCCATTGTAGAGCTTAAATCAGGCCCAAAAAATCAAGCCCGACCCTACCCGAGCCCGTGCACATTGTGTCCGAGCCCAGCCCGCCCCGACACATTAACTGTAATTATGAGCCTGAGCCCGATTTAAACCCGTCCATTTTTTTAATACATGGGTCGTTATAACTGACGTTCTCAACAACTTTCTATGTTACTTTCTTCCGCCCACAACATTTTTGTCCCGCTCCCGCCCGCAAAAATACTTTTTTCTGTAGGCTACCTCCAAATACTTTCAAGTTAGCCTACGTGTCGCCACCATACACATCAGCATAAATGCTCCTGATAAATTATTTGTTATTAAAGCATTATTTAACACACAAACCACTGTTATAACTTAAAAGCAAGCAGGCTACTGCGTGCATGGTTTGGCATGACTGAATGCGCTCCCTTAAAAATTCCTAAAAAGCTGACATCAGTTCATCGCGATCTCACACATCTCTGTTATTATTAAAGTCCCCATGAATTCTAAATTGACCATACTTACTTTGTTTGCCTAAATTGATCGTTTTGTGGTGAACAATTCATCCATGCAAGTCAATCCACACAAAAAAATTTTTTGGCTTCGTAATCTTTAATCAAAATCTGAAATTTATTTCCAAACCTCTGCATTGGAGGACCTTCCCTGATGACGTAGGTTTGACGGTTTGGGTGTCTGCTTAACATCCGTTATCACGCCCCTCCAACTGACAGTAGACAGGCTGAATGAAAACACCTACTTTTCCTGATCCAATCAGGTGCTAGTTGGAAAAAAAGCCACGCCCACTATTTTGCCTCATTTAGTATTCCGTTTCTCTCGGAAATACGTCACAACACTGGAGAAAAGTCGTTTGCAACTTCCGGTTCACGGGGACTTTAATGAAGCTGACTGCACAATGAATCTTTCATAATATATACACTTTGTTTGTTATAATTAGAGGATTTGCCAGCATACAGAATTCAGCACTGAACAAAAAGTCAGTTTTGAGCGGTGAGGGGAGTCTATCTTAAATGCTTCTGATTGGCCATTGCGTTCAAGAAATCAACACATGCCTGTGATTGGCTACATCGCTCAATGCTGCAAACATTTGATAAAAAGAAACTCTGGCCTGTAAATCGTTTCTATTTTGTTTTAGTTGTTCTTTTGCTTTTCTGCAACATATGAATAAAAATGTATTAGTTTTTATGTTTTATTCATAGATATTTCTAGTTTGCGGGAGTCCCGCGAATTGTTTTATTCTCCCGCAACCCGCACACACAGAGTGAGTGCATAACCGCTCGCACTCGGCCATCAAATCTAGTCCCGCGCCGCACTATTGCGTTGGGAGTGCACGTCTCTAGATCAAGGGCCTTATTGGCATCCATTTCGGCGTCTCGCGCTCGCCATCCAAGGGGGTAATCCACCAGCCGGAAACTGAAGTCTCCCTGGGGGCCGCCATTGGCTAACAAGCCTTCACCTGCTGTTAGCATTCCATTGACTCCCATTCATTTTGGCGTCACTTTGACAGCGAATAACTTTACATCTGAGGCGTTTAAAGACTCCATTTGTCCATTGTTTATTTCTAAAGAAACACGACAATGTATAAAAGGCTCCATTACCTTGTATCTTACGTTATGGCCCCGTAGAAGCAGTTTTTGTAAAAATAGGCTAACACGCGACTCTCTGTCGCACAGTAGAGAAATTACCGTATAGACAGAAGTAGAAGCTCGCTCACAATCGGGGGGATGTGGAGGCATAAAGTCAAGGGAGAAGCCCATAGAGAGTTGTAAAGTTGCTCCTGCTGCTAGCTCATGGACAGCTAATACTCACAATCTCCGGCTCTGCAAGATTCGGAAGGGAATGATTCAGATTCCTCTTGGGACAGCTACTAAAAGACGTACAACTGTCAGACAGGTTGCTCCAGTGATGTAGTGGTGCCTGGAGAAGTGGGTATACTCTTAATTTATGCCCCCAATATTTTTTTTAAGCGTCCCAGCAAAGGATGAACGCTCTGTGTTATAAACAGTGACATGTAAGACTAGTCTTGCATTAGTATTGAATATGCAAGACTATAGAATATAATGAATACAATAGAACATATAGAATCACTAGTATTCTTGCATATCAGGGCCGTACGTAGGGTTTTCTAAATACCCAGGTCCCATAAATGATATTGCTTGGGGGTTTGGGGGGTTGATTAAACAATTAATCAATGTTTTTGGACTAATCTGTTCATTTAATTAATGGTTAAATTGCTCACTCATAAAGACCTTCTGGCTTAATGATGCAAGTTGCGCAAACACAGACAAGCGGAGTGATACAAACAGTGAAAAGTCGAACACATTCGAGGAAACGTTATACAAATATATTTATACAATAATAATGGCAATATATTTAATATTTAACTGTCTTTGATCAAACTGATTATTTCTGTCGGTCGACTTCTATCGAAAAACAGCCGTATATTTTAGCTACTTGCATCTTATCTCGCACTGTATGATCGTTAACTGAATTGAAGCATCACGTTGGGATTAGGGCTCGGCTCGCGCTTCTGTGAACAAAAATCCTGCTTGCTTTGATTGGTCTCAAACATTTTGACATTGACGAGCGGGTGTTTGAGTGCTGAAGCAGATCAGATGAGAAGGTCAGTCATTGCAGCAACAAATTAGAGTTAATATTAGGGGTACGACCCTGACTGGGTGTTTTTTATTCACGAGATTGGATTAGCAACTAAATGATGCGCATCAGAGGGGATTTAGAAGTGGGTATACGCAATGCCGACTGAAAAAGAAGTGGGTATACGCCGTATACCTGCGTATACCCTGCACTACACCACTGGCTTGCTCACGTCACATCTACGTCGTCAAGCTCAGTTTGAGCATGCGCAGTACGCTTGGCTATCAGGAAGTGAGTGCTTTAATTGACCTTTCGCCGGCCCCTCCCCCAAACCGGCCATTGTCCAATCACACATCATAGCAACTGTTACTATGTGAGCAGGTCCATCAAACATTGACTCCAAGCAAGATGGTGAAGCGGTGCGCCCACGGCCGATAGATTGTCTGGAGTACCCCGATAGATACCCCGATAGATTGTCTGGAGGAGTTGTGCTCTTTCCGTTTCCAAAGTCGAAAACACAACGTGAGCGGTGCTTACAATGGATAAAACAGTGTGGACGGCCCCACTCCCAGTTAAATGTGTCGAACATGGTTAACTCGCGTGCGTGAGACTGAGACACTGAGATTAGTCAAAGAAACATGGAGAAAGCAGATCAAGAGGATCCAGAAAGGAATTATGTTTTCTAAAGGGTTGTTGTTAACATGATATTCTCGGGGGGGAAATGAGCAGCAGTCAACTAGCAGTGCAGCACCCGTAGCTACAGTTTAGAGGAGTGCACGTTCGCAACGGGGAAAGCATGAAGCTTATTTAACAACATCAGTTCATATATCAATATCGTAACGAATAGAAATAACCTTAAATATTGTAACGAATAGAAATAACCTTAAATATTGTATGGTTATCTGCATCTTTCCGTCTCTTATGTATAGTTACTTTTTAAACACGAAAATCGCATTCAGCATGACACACAAGCGGTTCCCGTGATAATGAACAACCTGCTTGTTAAAGCGAATGTATAATCCTGTATCTGAGGCAAAATTACTAAATATGCAGCAGCAGCGCGAGTTATATATTTCTAACTCCAAACAATTAGCCACTGAACCAGCTTATAAAATCTTCAAGGCTGTGCTGGTTGCATTTGAGGTACAGGTCATGGGGTTTCTCAGATTTCGCTTGAGATCGGTATAAGCATTCGCCTCGATAGCAGTCGTTTCTCCTTCATTGCGTATTTTTATATTTTGAATATATCCCTCCACTGTATACTGTACTGTAACCCCGATCTGGAGGATATCACGGAGGTATTGCTCCAAAAAAGGTTACTGACACGCACGGGTATACCTCTTCCCGTCATGGCAATCTGTCGCGCTGGTCATGTTTGACCATTTGTTTGACGGGCGTAGTAACAATAACTAGGGGGCGTGGCTTTTGCGAACGGTCAATTGACTTCACTTTTCTCCGTCGTCTATGGGGTTGCTGTGTCCATTTCTTTTACTGTCTATGTCGCCATCCACTCAAAACGTAACGTTAGCCTACTACTCTTTGGCCGGCGCGCAAGCCCAAACAAGTGTGTGTGCGGCATGCCTGTTGTTTTGTTTCCGGTCTAGCTATCCGGTGTGGTGTTGTAGTTTTTTTTAACGTTACTAGTTGTTGCAACAGCATGTGAAAAAAAACTACAAAGTTTGCTAGGCCAAAAAGAACGTTAATCTCGCGATAAAAAAATTGACGCCGTTAAAATGGGTTTGTGTTAACGCCGTTAATAACGCGTTTAACTGACAGCACATACTGTATATATATATATATAAATAAATATATATATATAAAAGTGTAGAACTCTCAGCTTATGCTGGAACTGCATTGCTTAAACACCCGATATACTTATACGATATACTGGTGTAGTCAGTCGGCCTTAAAGATCTAATTTAAAAAAATATTTTTGGAAATCTGCTTTGATCAACTTAAGTACAAACTGGTTTGCTATAATTGAATTGAATGCCTTTATTGTCATTGCACTTAGCTGTACAATGAAATTCTTAAGTGCCTTGTGGTAAAATTAACACACAAGCACAATACAAAACACTAAGTAAAGATAACACACAACATACAACTCAACATAGCTGCAATAAATAGAAAAATAAGCAGTAGAAAGTATATTGCACAATCCCATGTGTATAAACAGTCAATGTACACAGTCCATACTTATACATACATATTTGTTGTGACAGTACAATAAGGTACAATTAGGCTGTTTGTGTGTGTGATTCTTTTAATTTTCCAGGTGAAATCCCAGAGGAGCTAACCATTGATGATCTTAAACAGAGGGCAAAGAATGGGGATGCAAAAGCACAGACCGAGGTCTGAATGCCACAAAAACACACTCGCACAATACATTGTTTTAGTAATTTGAAAACTTACACTGTTGTTGGACAGATTGGTAGATATTACCTGAGATTAGCCGAGCAAGAAGACGAAGAAGTAAATTCTGTCACCGCGGTAACATGGCTACTCCAGGCGGCGAAAAATGGACAGAAAGATGCAGTAAAGCTGCTACGACGCTGCCTTCATGACAGGAGGGGTAAAGCAGATACTTATGATCTAGATTGTAAACATATGACATCATTTTCTCTGTACTTACATTTAGACTGACTTTAGTGTGTGTGTGTGTGTGTGTGTGTGTGTGTGTGTGTGTGTGTGTGTGTGTGTGTGTGTGTGTGTGTGTGTGTGTGTGTGTGTGTGTGTGTGTGTGTGTGTGTGTGTGTGTGTGTGTGTGTGTGTGTGTGTGTGTGTGTGTGTGTGTGTGTGTGTGTGTGTGTGTGTGTGTGTGTGTGTGTGTGTGTGTGTGTGTGTGTGTGTGTGTGTGTGTGTGTGTGTGTGTGTGTGTGTGTGTGTGTGTGTGTGTGTGTGTGTGTGTGTGTGTGTGTGTGTGTGTGTGTGTGTGTGCGTATGCATGCCAGGCATCACAGCTGAGAACAGAGAGGAGGTGTGTTCCCTGGCATGTGAATCTCGTTTTCAGCGCAGTGTAAGAAAAGCAGCTCTGCTCATGTACTGGAAACTCAATCCAGAGAGGAAGAAAAACATCACTGCCTCTGAACTTCTGGAAAATGTCAGCCAGATCAACACTGAGACAGGTGAAACTTATGTTGTTGTGACAAGCCCGTAGGCAGGGGGGGTTCGGGGGGGGTTCTGTTTTCTTACAATACTAATGAGAATTTTTAATTAAAGTATATTACAAACTTTTCATTTAGACCCTAAAGAATCAAATTAACTTGTATGAAAATGGCATTATATGACCCCTTTAACTGTTATGAGTTTATTTTGCACCGATTCACTGATAGTGTGAGGATGTATGACGTCACGAGCATGTACTAGTTGAGTGAAGTTGGATGTACATACATCTAATGAATGAGTGTTTAGTCATTGACAAAGCTTCAAAAAAGGTGTTTTGACTGTTTTTATGTCAAGCGGTACAACCAAATAATGAGTATGGGGCGAAAAGAGCAGGAGAGACGGAAGAGAAAGCAGGCAGCAGCGTCAGCTAATCCAGCACAAATTAGAGCATAAAAGGTCACCAAAATGAAGTATTTGAACCTCATAATTAAATACAAAAGGAGGAGAAAAACTGCACAAAAGGTCCACTTTTTTAAAAAAAAGACCCCCCCCCCCCCCCCCCCCCCTTTCAATAGGCTGGCTACGGACCTGTGTGATCAACCAATTTGGATAATGCAGAATAGTTCATCCAAACGTGAAAATTCGGTCATTACTCTTATTGTTCTTAACCTGTACGCTGTTATTATTTTTCTGAGCAACGGCAAATAAAAAATTAAGAATCTTCATGCAGTTATTTTCCATTAATCAACAGGGTCGACTGTAACTATCTTTAGAACATATGTTGTGTTTCCTGCTCCTCCTCTAGATGGTGCTCCCAGCAGCCCTCTCTCAAGCCCAGCACAGAAACAAAGAAAAGTTTTGGAGAGTTTGGTCTCAAGAGATGGTGAATTCATTGTGTTGTCTTTGCAGAATCAAACATGTTTTAGACTTATATTGCATATGTGGTAATATGAATATAATAACCTGAATCTGTGTATTTTTGCTGTGACAGGGGCTGAATATGTTGGTGTAGAAGAGTTTGTTGAGTATACTAAACAATATACTGAGGGTATTTCACCAACACCTGCCATGGAAGCAGCAGGGGATGATGATGATGATGATGATGATGAAGGGCCAGTAAAGAACCCTGATGAACTGCCTTTGCATCAGAAGGTGCCATTATTATTTCTGCTTATTTCCATGGTAAAACTTGGCAAGCTTACTTGGTGTACTGCCTACATGGCCAGCTGTCCACACAAATGCCGCCCTAACTAAAGTGGAATATCATAAGTAATTGTTATGAGATGCTCATAGACAGCTACAGACAGGATTACAGGATACAGTATAAAACACCTATGTACTGGATGAAATGATACACCTTTAATTAGATAGAAAATGTTTCCGGTTACATCTGTAACACAGGCTCCCTGAAAAGGGAAGGAGACGCTGCGTCGAGATGCTGTGGGAACGCCTTTGCATGATTGCGTCAGGAAGCACGTGTGAAATCGGTCCAATGGTGTGACGGAACACGATCAGGAAACTATAAAGCACACCCAGACCAAACAGCTTTAGCTTCTGATAGGCTGAAGCAAGTCGATCAAAGGCATGCAGGGAGTATGGCAGGGCGATTCGTCGTCTCGTTCCCTTTTCAGGAAACCATGGTTACAGACGTAACCGGAGACATTCCCAGGGAACTCGCGCTGCGTCGGGACGCTCTGGGAACATCATACCCACGCCGCCATAATAGAAAGTTCCTGTCGGTGTGAAATCGAGCGCACAATAGGACGAGAGAGCGTCTTAGGGACATAACCCAGTCTAGGGTGGAGAAAGGCTTTCGCCATGCCAGGTGCAAATTCCAGGCACGAAGGTGCTACCGACAGGGCTTGTAAGTTTCAGATTCTTTTGAGAGACGAGATGGCGAGGAGGAACACCGCTTTAAGAGTGAGGAACTTTTCTGGAACCTCTTCAATAGGCTCAAAGGGAGCCAAAGTAAGGCCTTCCAATACATTGGCCAGATCCCAGGCCGGCACTCTATTGTAGAGATCGACCGATATATAGTTTTCCCGATATTTAAGCGTTTTTCCATAATTGGGTTTCAGTTTTGTAATATCGGATTCACTATAAATGGCGTTTTGAGGGGAGATGAGTCAACAATGGTGTTCAAAGGGAAAATAACTTGCATCCCTTAATTGATTGACTTTTTCACACAACAGCCATTAATGCATAAATGAGATATGGACAAATAAGATACGTTACATAAATGCTTAATTTAGTTTAAACTTGCCGCTAAAAAAAATAGAGACAACGTAGTCACGTAATCCATCAAGTCATGTCCCAATAAAGACGTAGCTTTACATGAATTAAATAAAACAGCCATGAATGAGTACATTTTGGAAATAAAAGGGCTGAATTTAATTCTCTCTCTGTTGTCTATGCTCATCATTAGTCTCGTGAAGTAGCGTTCCTACTGCAACTTGAAATCACGTGAAATCATTAATGATGCCTTCAGGGTGTAAGGGGTTAAAAGTGACAGCCAACAGAGAGCTTACATATCACTTATATAAAGATTGAATGATCGGGATCGGGATCTGTATCGGTCGATCATGATGACAAGAAATCGGTAGTCTGTATCAGCAGCAAAAGTCCTGATCGGAGCATCCCTACCTAATATTTTTTATATTCTCTCATAATTTAGTCCACTCTTTGAAAGTCAATGTAACACAATTTTCAAGCTTTAAAAAGTGCACTAAGACATTGTAAAAGTAAACCATATGATTTTAATGTTTTAATCAGGTCGACTGAAGAGACACGTTGCTTTATATCATGAGCAGATTTCATTAAAGGTGGGCATACACTGCGATTTTTGTCCGGTTTTGAGCCGAATTCTGACTCGTGCGACTCTTTTTCGGGTCGGGACGATTTTCAGCTTTGTCGTGCATCGTTTGTCATGCAGTGTACAGGGAGAAACGAAAGGCGATTAACCTCTCCCGATCGGCAATCAGATGGTCGGATGAATTTCTGAGATGTCAGAAATTGTGTTCGCTTCTCGTGCCTATATCGCACAGTTGAAGCAGAGCTACGAACCGATTGCCCTAAACTCTGTGTTTTTTCCCTCACTGCGCCTGCGCGAAAACAGAAGTTTAACCATTTCACCTGCAGCAAAAAAAAAAAAAAAAAACGAAAAGAGGGAGATCTTTAAGTTCTGTAGTTCAAACTAGCTACAAATTACTGTTGCTTACCTCCAGTTCGTGTTGCAAAATGGATTAACCATATATTACCCACGTCTTCCAAGCCACCTGGGATGAATCTACATCATGCCTTTTATTGATTTGTTAAACAATGTTTCTGAAATAAACCTGTTTTTAATTATTATTGATGACTAATTATTGCAGTGTTCGGATATATTATAGACTGTTAATAGTTAATTATATGCCTATAATTCATTGTAATCGACCTAAATGTTTTGACAATTTTCAATGAGGAGTAGTAAGCTTCTATGTAATATTTTATTATCCTCACAGCGCGTTGGTTATGCAGTGATGTGCTGTGAAATTATTGCGTGGCAAATTAATTATAATAGCAGATCAATTTAATAATAAAATTAGCCTAGGCCTTCCCTAATCAGTGGCGGTTCCTGGGTGGGGGGGGAGGGCAGTGCCCCTGTGACAACAAGCTTGGACCCCCTTGTGGCCCCCCTAAATGTGGAGTGTGAAATAATTTTTTACAGTGTCACGCATTGAGCGTGACAGTCACTCATTTCGGTCTTTTGTCACGCACTCCCACCACACATTGTATTTCTCATGCGGAAAAACTATTTATAATATATTTAATATGCCGCAATTTCTCTGGCCGCGCTGCTCTCACTATGGAACCGGCAGGAATAAAGCGCGTCTCCCCTGGAGTTTTGCAGTCGACCCTGACACTTATCAGCCAATCAAAAAAAAAAAAAAAGGTGCTACACAATAGCCAATCAGAAAATAGCACTATTGTATCTGGGTAAGATTTAACGCAACAACCAATGAAAAAAACACATATCCTGGAATTGTTCACATGATTCTGCTACAACATATTCCGAAAGTTTCATTCACCCTCAGATGAAACCACTGGAGCTCAGAGCATCACTTTGAGCACAGAGTAAGTCATGATCTCCTGTTTTAATGTTACAACAAATTCACAACTTGTTTGACACAAACAATGACAACTTGACTGCTGTTAGAGAATGTTTCCCAGATAATTAGCATCAGTTTTTCATCATTGAGTGTCTGTAACTTTGCCAACAGTTTTACAGCCTGTTCAAAGACAACACCTGCTCAGAACAAGTAGTCTAGGTCTAGTCATATTTTCGTTATCACACGATGACTGACATATTGTTATAAACATCTCTCTCTCCAAATAGGCTTAATAATTTTATTAGCACTAAATTAAAGAGTATTGCATAGTCGATGTTATAGGTCACTTTTAAAATCATGTCATATTTTATAATTATATCCTGGCCATGGATGCATTAATCATTGCATCTGTCTTTCAAAGATGTCAGGTAAAAAGCAATTATGCATCCTCTCATTCACCCTGAGAGGAAAGCCCCCTAAAAAGGCCAGGTTAGAGGATAATTTGCTGATCTTTTTGCAAAAAAAAAAAAACACAAAAATCGTGGAATACAGTTAATGTGACTGATACTGAATATATAATGCAAATGTAAAAAATATAATGGAAATGCAAATACAGTTACTGATACTGAATATGTAATGCAAATGTAAAAATATAATGGAAATGCAATTACAGTTACTGTGACTATACTGAATATGTAATGCAAATGTAAAAATATAATGGAAATGCAAATACATTGTTGGATTATTATAAACATGGTATTATGCCTGCAGTGCAGTGCAGAAAATGATATGACAACAATAAGGTCTAAATGTAACTGACCCCTCTAACAGTACAACTGGCCCCAGCTTGGCCCCCCCAGTTGAAATGGTCCAGAACCGCCACTGTCCCTAATAATGATAATACAATAATACTAATAATAATTTAATACATAAATTGAAAATGCTAAATCATCTTGATATTGATAGCTGATGCTTGTTTTGACTATCTCTGGATACATGATATCGTCTATAGGCGCAACCCAGCACGGGGGTTTAATCGCACATATTTCACACGATTAGTGTGAGCAGTCAAGTCGCAGCTCGATGATTGGACCGTATAGTGTGAGCACATAAATCCTGAGCTTTGGCTTTACATCGCATGCGGTTTACTCGTTCAGTGTGAGTAGGTACCTTGCTGAAATCGCACAGTGTATGCCCGCCTTTAGGGGTTTATTTACGTGCTCTGTATGCGTGTTGATCAGTGTTTCATCAAATATGGTCAACGATAGCTCAAAAGGGCTTGCCGGTTGAAAACAACGATTTTCATTGGCTTGGCAAAAATTATGAGAGAATAATAAAATATCATTGTTTGGTTTCTGAAGACGAACAAAAGCCTTATGGGATTAGAAAAACATTGAAATTTTTTGGTTAACCTATCCCTTTAAGACAACAAAGACTGAGTATTCTTGAAAATTGACGTCCCTGCTATTTAGTTTAGCAGCTCACCATGTCTTGAGACACAGACAATATTATACTGTACTAAATATTATTTTTGACTAACTAATTAATTTTCTTTATACTTACAGGTATTGAAGTTTCCCCTTCATGCAGTGTTGGAGGTGAAAGAGGTGTTGATTGACTGGGCGTCCCGTGCAGGCATGCAGTGGATTAGCGCCCTTATACCTACTCATCATGTCAATACCCTCATCTTTTTCTTCATCATCTCCAACCTAACCCTGGAGTTCTTTGTTCTTGTCATTCCTCTCATTATATTCTACCTCTCTTTTCTGTCAATGGTAACTTGTACTCTCCGAGTCTTTCAGAACAGCAAGGCATGGGAGAACTTTCGAGCATTGACGGCCATGTTGTCTCATTTTGAGCCAGGCATAGACCTCGAGCAGGCAGAGTCAAACTTCACATGGAACCACCTTGAGCCATACCTCTACTTCCTCCTTTCTTCGCTTTTCCTCATCCTTTCGATTCCCGTGGCAGACAAGTCCTGGTTGCCATGTTCGGAACTGGCAACAGTTGCAGTTTTCTTCACTGTAAGCAGCTACTTAAGCCTGCGACCAGCAGCGCAGCAGCATGCCAAACTTGCTCTGCTCTCCCAGGTTGCCTCCGCCATTTCTGCGTTCTTGAATAAGTTGCTGGGAGGCTGGGTGGGTCGTGTGGTTGGTGGCGCTTGGTTCAACATGCACCTTGGTGACTGGTTGGTACTGCATGTGGGTGTGCCTTGTTTTCTGTATCTCTACCTCCTGTATCAGTGTACCCGTATGGCCACAGTAGGTGGTGCACGTGGCACCTACTGTGTGCTGCTGCCCTACCTGGTGTGCTTCATCTGGTGTGAACTCTCCGTCACGCTGTTGCAAGAGTCTACTGCATTGGGGTTAATGCGCACAGCTGTGGGCTACCTCCTTTTCTTCTTCGCTTTGCCCGTGATTTCGCTGGCTCTAGCAGCCGTAATGCTGGTGCAACTGGTGCAGTGGTTCCTCGCCCTGGAACTGACCAAAATGGTCGTAACCGCGTGTGTTTGCGTCCTGCCTGTCTTGCTGCGCTGGTGGACACGTTTTAGCGTGTCCCCCTTGGCAGTGCTGCACTTTTTGCGGCGCAGCAGCGTGGTCAAGTTGATCCTTGTGTGGATTTCAGCTCTGGTGCTCTTCAGCTGGTTCTACGTGTACCGTTCTGAGGGGAGGAAGGTATACAACTCCACCCTGACTTGGCAGGAGTACAGCGACCTGTGTGGCCCTCGTGCCTGGAAGGAGCGTAACATGGCACACGCCCAGATCCTCTGCAGCCACTTGGAGGGACACCGGGTGACGTGGGAGGGTCGGTTTAAGTATGTTCGTGTCACTGAGATTGAGAATGGAGTGCTAGCTGTCATTAACCTTCTACCAGTCTTTTTAGCAGACTGGGTCCGATGTCTGTATGGCGAGGAGTACCCTGTCTGTGACAAGACCCAGCCGGGACCCGCTGAATCGGTGTGTCAGCTCAAGGCGCTTGCAAAGCATAAGTGCCATGTCAAACGTTTTGACCACTACAAGTTTGAAGTGACCATGGGGATGCCACAGAAGGGGCGCAATGGGGCACAAGATTTTGATGATGGCACCAAAGACATTGTGCTTCGGGCTAGTAGCGAATTCAGACACGTCCTACTGGCACTCAGCTCAGGCAGTGTGGTGGAGTTCAGCACGGTACTTGAAGGTAGACTGGGCAGCAAATGGCCAGTGTTTGAACTCAAAGCCTTGCACTGCAAGACATGTGCTTCACCGCTTGTACCAATACGACGACAGGTCAAGATCGAGCAGGACTGGAGGGTTAACGTCCGAAATGCCATTGCTTTCGCCTTCAATTTCCTGTTCCACCCTCTGCTTTCGGCTGAGGTAGACGTTACTGTAGCTACTACAGAAGTATCTGTGTGAAGCTAGTGGTTGACCACTGGCATTCTCTTTAGTATTAGAAAAGGAAACTGTTGAGATTTGATAAAACCGTTATTAAAACGCCTAAGGCGTTGTCATCTTGTTTTGTCTGTTTCATGTATGAAGGTGAACAAAGAAGTGAGAAGAGCCTTCTGTAGCTCAGTGGTTTAATCTTGGTTCTGTGGACCCACCGCTCTGTACATTTAGTATATTTTTATCTGACACAGTCAGTTCAGTTAATGGAGCACTTTCCTACCAAGCTGATGGTCTGAATGATGGGCATTAAATAGGGGAAACATGCATAATGTGCATTGCTATGGGTCCTCAGGACCAGGACTGAAAACCACTGCTATATGTGCTGCAGCAGGGGTGTTCAATCCTGCTCCCCAGCCTGCCTCCAACACACCTGCCTGGAAGTTTGTAGTAATCCTGAAGAACTTCATAAGCTGGTTTAGGTGTTGATGCTAAACCTGGCAGGAAAGTGGCCCTCCAGGAGCAGGATTGAACACCCCGGTGCTAAAGGAACCAAATAAAATACCACTTCAAGCCCTTAACTATTTCACAAAACTGAATCAAATGTTAAGAAATATGAATTTCATGTGGAAATTCAAAGCCATGCCTAAATTTCTAAAAAGTCTTTGCATCTGGACGAACTCATTTATCTGCAGTGAGAGGTTACATCCACTGGTTTTCCCCTGTTTTATTGATTTTAATAGGGCTTTTGAATATTTGATATCTAATTTAGTTTGTTTTGGAAGATAATGCATTAATACTTAGGTGTGTGCATGTGTCTGTGTTTTATTATCATTGATGCCTTAGATTGGTTCAAACGTGTCTTTTGAAGATTTAGGTAACTTGCATTTTAAGGCATATAGAAGAAATTTGAAAATGATTTATGACTTTTCTGTGAAAATACTGTATAGTACAATAGAGATTTTTCTTGAACAGGTCTAAAGATCTCTTTATTTTAAATACAATTTGGGTTATTATTGTCATATCTATCAATAATAAGATCTGTTTGAGGTTTTAGTTGACATTTCAAACATTAAACATTGCTGAACAGATGTTTGATGGCTTGAGGCTGCATTGGAGGTACAATTTGAACACTACATTGCACAATATTAAAATGCTGTACATAGTGATTGAATTTGTCCTGTGTAAAAATCAGTACTTTTATAAATTTCATTGGTGGTGTGTGAATGTTCCACACTACATTAGGCTAGATAACAGTCAATAATAATGAAGTGGCACTCATCGTTTATCATTCCTATACAGCCAAAGAGAAACCACCCACACATGCCTCTGTATTTCGACTGTGTTATCTTCATTTACACAAATAAACTGCCTTTGTTTTGCCTTTCTGTCTTGGTACGATATTTCAAGATTACATTTCTGGGGCTATATTCACGAAACATTTCATCTTACCACTAAGAGTTCTCCTAAATAGCAGTAAAAGTTCTTAGTTAAGAGTTTTCTCTTAAAACCTATTCACAAAGCTGATGAGACCAACCTTTACTGAGGAACAGAGAGGGTGGGGTTGATCTCGTTGCTATGGATGATGTCAACACGCTTACTAACTATGCCCACAGTGATGGGGGAGGGGTCTCTTTCAGTAATTTAATCATAGAAATATTGTAGAATAAGGTTTCATGTTGAGATATATTAAAATAAAGATTTTAAAATGTAGGCTAATGTTTCACTATTAAAAGTATATGTTCAGCGAATTGTCAGCCTACATTGCATCTCAAAAGATTGCAGAATTCAAGCGACAAATTATGTTTTATAAACAAAGTTCGGGAGGAGCACGTTCAAAATCAAATGGTTTATCTAATCAGCTCGAGAGGAGGCATATATACACAGCCGACTCTAGTTACCGCTAGTTAGTTTTCTGAATCCCTCCACCACCTATTCCCATCGGTTCCTATTCCCAGCCATGGTTATGGGAGAGAGTACTCTGGGTTTGGGCTAAATTCCAAGCTCGGAGGCTCCCCTCAGACAGCATGGCAAATACACTTATTTTACTAATTTACTTTATTCGATCATTTGTAAGTGTGAACTCGTGAAAACAACTGCCACAGGTAAACAGACATTATTTATTAAAGTAATTCAAAATTTTTGGGTGTTTTTGCCTTTTTATTATGATAGGACAGTGAGTAGACAGTGGGCGAAGTGGAAGGGAGAAAGGGGGGACGGGATCGGCAAAGGTTCAGAAGCCGGACTTCAACGAGGGGGTAATAATTTGGCAAGGGGTCGAAATTCGGCACAACACAGGAACTCGAACTTGGGTCACCCGAGCTGCCCACAAGGCAATCAGCACAGAAGATAGCTATGGAGCGAATTATGTGCCATAGTTAAACAGACAAATCCAGCATTTTGCAAACAAACTCGATCTGCTTTGCAAAGGAAAACTTGACTCGCAAACAAACTCGATCTGGTTTGCAAAGGAAAACTGGACTCGCAAATAAAACTCGATCTGCTTTGCAAAGGAAAAATCGACTCGCAAACAAACAAAGCAATTTGCAAAAGCAAAGGTCAATTTGAGCGAAAATGCAGTGGAGTAACCAATATTGTGTTTTACAAATATAAATAAATGAGCCAAGATAATAGGCTATTTCACAGATAAATACAAACCATCCTTAGCCTGGGTTTCCCCATACTGCCTTTGTGCAGCGCGATTTTATTCACGCTGCTAGGTAGTCGATACCATGGACCAAATTTTCGCCTCATCTAGGGAACCAATCACAGAACGGGGAGGGAGCAGCAAGACGATGACAACGTCTATGCGACACACCGAAGCAATTTGTTTATACCATAGATAGTTAAAGAGGTTTATACCTATGGATCCAACATGGCAGCAGACGCGAAGTTACCTTTCGATGCAGCCTTACGGCCGTTTCACACATAGGTTTCACACCGCAAGCGTGAGCGGCACTTGAGCAACGCGTCAGCGTAACTACATCGTCACTGCAGCTGCGCGAGAGTATTCACACTGGAAGCGTTTGTACAGTGTCACAGCAGCGGCTCCAAAGCTACACAAGCGAGCAATTCTTTACAAAGTCAACTATACATTTGTTTTTTTAGAAGTTGGTCATTTATAACATTGATAGTCTTGAAAGTTTGTAATGGGGAGGTGTACAACATTCGCATATAAATATATATATTTAATATATTTGCCTACTTAAGTTCTTGTTAAAACTCACTAGACATGCTTATTCTGTGCATTTTGAGCACTTTTTGTGTAAAATCATATTTATTTTTGTCCATCAAAAGTGTGCTTTCACTTTAATTGAGCGTGACCAGTGCAGCAAAAACAGATTCGACGCCGAAACCCCCGCTTCACTGCTGCTCACGCGCCGCTCCTGCTCGACGCTCACGCGCTGCTCCTGCTTCTGGTGTGAATGCACTCATTGATTAACATGAACGGCGAAAAAATTACGCACCGCTCACGCATGCAGTGTGAAACGGCCGTTAGATACACGCCATTTTGTACACACAAATCTTTGACCCATCGTCTTCTTCCTCGTCTAATTTCTGTCGCTCTACATACGTCATCTGGTATAATTGAAACGATTGGCTATGAGCTACGTACAGGCGCATTTGATAGACATTCTTAGCACCCAATAAACGGCTCTGGGCATTCGTAAACCACGCCTCAAATACGAGAAAATGAACATGTGGTTCCCAGACCCAAGTCTCAATGAGACTTGGGTCTGACGTTAGCCAGGCTAAACCATCCTACAAATTGCATGTAACCTTTGAACAAATACCAAATCTAGTGCATACAAATGCATATCTGTCACAGTAACTCGTTTAGGGGGGCATGGCCCGCGAATGCCCTTGGCGCCGGCCCTGGAGAGAAATGTTACTAAGTGCTAATGTGGATTTCTGTGTAGATATGTAATAAACATTTTGCAAAGGAAAACCTCAAGATGTTTATTATAAATAAAAGTAAGACAGAAACTTTTTCCTCAGCTGTAGGCAAAGGCAAGCGTGTTTCAAATCAGTGCTTCTACTGGGAGACTGGCGCTAAATTAATCCCCTATTTTAGCGCTAAATTAATGCTGGATTTGTTTGTTTAATTATGGCACATAATTCGCTCCATATACAGCACATTATTTTCAACTTGGTTGCAATGTTTTATTCTCCATCATTCAATGCATTTTGCCTGTACATAAATGAACCTTTATGTTATGTCGCAGATTAAAGGTGGAGCGGTGCATTCCACATTGTGAATGTGCTATAAGGTTGCCACTTCACTTCTATGTATTTGTGTTCTTATTTATATAATTTATTTTTAAATACCTTAATACCATACCATCCTGAGTGTGACTTTTCATGCTAATATACAACCAGATATCATTCCAATTGATTTTTTTTGTTTATACAGCTAGCAAGTGTCAACCATGAAATCAAGTCTCATGCCATTTAGATGAAGGGAACATTCTTTTTATTATTATTTCAGCAAACATTTTGGGGTCAAAAAGACCTTGAATAACACCTAGGGGTTACTATGTGAATATATTTTTCTTTAATATCTTAAAGAACTATAACCCAGTGGTTGGTTATAGAGTGGTTGATTGACTATAACCCAGTCAAACGTTTGACTGCAGTATCTTATGTGCCTTATAATCCGGTGCGCCCTATATATGAAAAATGTCCTAAAATAGGTCATTCATTGAAGGTGCGCCTTATAATCCGGTGCGCCTTATAGTGCGGAAAATACGGTAAAGTGTTTTAGCGTGCAAAGTTTGTGGGGTTTAAGCCATTCCGGTCTGAGGTCATGGATAGTTCATGCTGAAGGCTGTTTTGTTCATCTCTCATGGGACCTCTGGTCCTTAAGAAAGGCGTAGTCTGTTAGTCGCAGGGGTCAGGTGACTTCTTGTTAGGGCCTCTTGTTTCACCATTTCTGAACAGATCTGTCTTGCCAAATTATAAGACATTGACAACGTTCTTCCTTTATGCAACCGAATGAATGAGATGAGTGGTGTTGATTGACGATTGTGAGCACCAATCAGAAAGGAGTATCCACTATTTAAGAGATGGTTGGTTATGGCCTGGGATGCGTCACGTCCGGTTCCCCCCCTTCTGTTGTTGACAGTAGCTGCCTGTAGGTATGTGTGTTAGTATATAGTACTTTTTGTTTTTAGTTTCTTGTATGTATGTATGTATGGGACTGACGATTAGTGTTGTTTAGCCTGTCTTTCCTCTCCGGCTTCCCTCGGCTTGTTGCGATGGGTGCATTCGCTGGCTGCTCGCCTTTCAGGTATGTGCGAACTGTTTGTGGAAAGCATATTGTTTGTTCTCATTCGGGGGTTTAGGATCGGCTGATTGTGTTGAGTTATGTGCAGTGTCCCTGTAGTCCAGCTGAACAGCGGATTGCATGATTTTGAGTATCCGTGCCTGTGAAAGGATAAACACATTATGTGAACGCATCATCCCCTTCCGGTAAGTGTTGTTGTGCATACAAGTGTAGTTACGAGCTGAAAATTTAACAATTGAGGCATAAATCTTACTGATGTTTTTCTCTGCATTGGCTTAGGATTTTCCCTCTCGTCCAGGCGATTTGTTTTGCCTGCTGGTGCTATAATCGGTTCTGGCTTTTGCCTTTTCTGCTGTTGCTACAGTTTACATTTAACAACTTGTTGCTTCCTCGTGCCATCTGTGAGAAGATCGTGTCACCCCACTGATGAAGGGGATCGTTGCTGTCTGGTTTTACTTCATATATTGAGCTAACGCTACTTTGTGTGCTGAACTTTGGAGGCGGACGCTTAACGTTATTAGTGCTCAAATCGGAGCACTCCCATCTGCTATATGTTTCCTTTTCGTTATTTACACCTTTGTATGATACTTGTGATTGTCTGATATTATTGCTATCTGTGCACTATTGTACCATAAATACCATCCAACTGTGGTTTATTGCAGTTAGTATTTGTGAAGTTTGTCATTAATTGTGTTTTTCTTTTCCTTTTGTGATTTCACTCAGGTGCTGAGGTTCCATGGGTTGAGGATCTCTTTTGGTGGTGGTGTTTTCTCCGAACGTTTGCAGTGACACTTTTGAAGTCTTTGGGGTGTTGTGAGTGTGCTTTCGGTGAATTAGTTTAGTGATTCCTCTTCCTGCGGTCTACCTCAGCCCTGCCAGTTTGTGTCTTTTCATTTATTTTAATGTGTATGTCCTTGTTTATTTGAATGTGTGTTTGTTACTGAAAACCTTGCTAGTGATGCTCCAAGTCGCCTCTCTTTTTTAAATGTGACTTATTCTGCTGCTTTAAATTAAATTTTGTATTAATAAAACTTTTGTACAATTTACATATCCAAGTCTCTGCCTACCTTTATTAGGGACATGAACCTGAGTGACCTAAGAATAATAATTTGAGTGTTGTCCATATTTCCCGGGGCGCAATTCCCCGGGTGGCGTAGTCGAAATTTTCTTTACCTGTAATACCAGCCTCCCGCCACATTTAGTTAAACAATAAAAGGTATTTTTGATTGCAGACTCTCTGGGTGTGGTGACTTGAATCTGGAATGTGAAGCCTCTTTCGTGTGATTATGTATGAAAGCTTCAATTGTGTTTGGTTCATTCTCATAGTCGCTACAGGCATTACTTCTAATCACTTCTGGTTAGAAAATGAGTTTATAGATAACGAAGGGCAGAGACAGGAGTTGACAGACCAAGGGAAAAGTGAGCACTTTAAAAAATTGACAAAGATCACAAACTTGAATCAGCTTGAGCAAGAATGGCCCTTAGTGGATTGGCGTAATGTGCTAAAAAAAACAGATAACTTAAAACCCTGAGACCACACCTGAACAAATTTAATCTTCCAAACAACACCCTTTTGGACTCACAGTTCACTGCATTAGAAATAAAGATAATCCCGTATCTGAAGAGGAAGGCATGGAAGCGTTGGCCTAGGGAATGCATAAGGCCAGTGAAGTGGGAAAGTGACGTAATCTTAATAATAATAATAATTCATTACATTTATATAGCGCTTTTCTAGGCACTCAAAGCGCTTCACATGGAAGGGGTAATCTCCTCAACCACCACCAATGTGCAGCATCCACTTGGATGATGCGACGGCAGCCATAGTGCGCCAGAACGCCCACCACACACCAGCTTACTGGTGGAAAGGAGACAGAGTGATGAAGCCAATCAGTGTATATATATATATGGGGATGATTAGGAGGCCATGATGGACAGAGGCCACTGGGCAAATTTGGCCAGGATGCCGGGGTTACACCCCTACTCTTTCGAAAGACATCCTGGGATTTTTAATGACCACAGAGAGTCAGGACCTCGGTTTAACGTCTCATCCGAAGGACGGTGCTCTTTGATAGTATAGTGTCCCTGTCACTATACTGGGGCGTTAGGACCCACACAGACCACAGGGTGAGTGCCCCCTGCTGGCCTCACTAACACCTCTTCCAGCAGAAACCTGGTTTTCTCAGAAGGTCTCCCATCCAGGTACTAACTAGGCTCAGCCCTGCTTAGCTTCAGTGGGAAACCAGTCTTGGGCTACAGGGTGATATGGCTCTTTGAGGTTGGAAGGGCAAGAGATATTAGACCAGTGTTAGTGGACAATTGGACACTGGCAAGATTGATGGTAATGGTGGTTTTGAGAAATAATCCAAGCAGAAGTAGTCATCTGTGGGTAGAGATACGGCGACACAGAGAAGAGATAGAAGAAGTGTCAGTGACAGCTGAGAATGTTGCAACTCTGGACCAATAGAAAAGGCAAGAGAGGGAATAGCGGGAGGAGGCTCTTAAACAAAAAAGAAAGAAAAACTTTAATTTATTTATTTGAACCCCTAACATTAGACACCTGCACCAAAGAGGAACTTAACATATCAATAACCATGTGGGAGGGCAACGAGGTGAAATTGACTCCATCTCTTACTTATTTGTATAGGGCGGGAGACATAACTGCACGAGGCCGGTTGTTTGGGGAAAACATAACCTGGAGTTTCAAATTAATATACCTGGGGGAAGACATCATTTGGCAACGCAGTACAAACAATAGGCTAGAGGAAGTGACGCCGAAGCCACTGTCTGAGGTACCAATACGAACCATTTTGAAATATTTCAAGAAAACAAAACAAATGCCTGAATTGTTAAACATAAGCAGAAAAAGAGAAGTGATTGTGCCTTAACTAATTAAGTGGGGTGCTGAAACGATGGCTTCGGTGTCACCTCAAGAAGAGTCCCCCATAGAACAGCTTGCATCACAATATCCGAAATGTAGGGATACAATCAAGAACTTGTCAAAAAAGTGGGGAAAAAAGACCAAAAAATGAAATACTAAGTGGCCAGCAGAGGGAACATTTGATTTGGCTATGTGTAGGGAGATGGGAGCTCTGATAAAAAACCACAAAGCCCATGATAAGAGCAAGAAAAGAGATGAGAAACGGGGAAAGGAACAAGAGGTGCTGCATTTATTTAGAGAAAAAAGGGAGCACAATTGATCAAAGAACTTAGAGAGAGGGTAGGGAAAAAAGAAAGCATAATAGAAACCCCACCCCCATATGCACCACTCTATGACTTGACTGGTAAACAACTGCCACTAGTGTCTGGAAAAGTGACTATAAGAGGCAAGGTAAACTTTGAGGATGAGAATCAAGAAGAAGAACAAGATGAGGATGAGAATCAAGAAGAAGAACAAGATGATGTAGAGGAGAAAGAAGAGAAAGAGATAAAACAAGACTACAGAAGAGTAGAGGCTGCAGGCATGCGTGAATCCAAATATCTATCAGGTTGGGACAGCGTGAGTCGTGGGGGAAGTCAGAGCAGTGACCTGGACATGAGACATCTAACCAGCACACACAGAAGCCCCACTCTGTCTAACCCATACTGCCACGCAAGCAAGCCCTTGCAGGAACTTGGACAAAAGATGGAAAGAAGAATGGAAATTGACAGCCAACAGTTTGAACGTGAACGGGAAGAAATGGAAAGAGAGATATTGATAACTCAAGAACAGATACAACGAGAAACCGAAGTCATGCGACAGATCCTAAAAGACTCCATGGAGAAAGACCAACAGAGACTCCAAGAACATCAAAGACGAAGATCCCATTCAGCTGGCCCTCACAAGGAATACAAGCATGTGTCTGGAACCCTCCTTTTAGAAGAAGCACCCCACAGCTAACCACACTGGAGAAGAGGAGACAATTTGAGAGAGATACCAGCACGCAAACTGAGTACATATAAAGACGAAGAGGAACAACTGGAAGAAGGACCCTTACAATGCCCCATCCTGATCAAAGGACATCAAGGACAGTACGTGCCATGGTCAGGACAAGATCTGGAAGAACTGAAACCCCTCCTCTCTGACCTACATGAAGGGGCTGGCAAATGGATCAGACTGTTGGAAGAAGAGACAATGGGGAAGATTCTAGCCATCGGAGATGTCAAGGCCCTGCTGGCAAAGTGAGTTGGAGGTGCAAAGACTAATGAAATCCTTAAAGCCTCTGGACTTGGAGGTGCAGTCGATTCGACAAGGATGGATGCCACACCATTGGACAGGCACAGAGCTGCAATATGGCGGGCTCTTTGAGAACAGTATCAAACTCAGATGGATCCAAAGATGCTAAAAGGGGAACCAATAGGAGATGAAGAAAACCCAGTCACCTATGTTCAGAGACAGTCAAGAAAATGGAAGCAGGAGCTGGAGAGAGACCCTGAACGAGATCCAGTAATAACAGCACTGTTCAGATCTGCTATAATTGATGCCATGCCTCCCTCTGTAAAAGCCAAACTGGAAGATGTGGTCGGGTTGGGCTCAAAGACATCAAAAGAGTTCAGCGACCATGTGGCTCATGCAGTGGAACAGTACAGGAAGAATTAACTAAAGCTGAAGAATCAAGAAAGAGAGCTTCAAAGAAAATTGACCCAGCTACAACTGGATGAACTGATTAACAAAAAGAAGAAAGTTCAGGCTGCAGTAAAAGAAGCTGAAGATTAGTCTGCAGTGATGGCTGCTGTGAATCTACCAAGTCAAGCGCCACAAGTCATACAGCAAGCACCAGTCAACATGGGTCAGAATGTGCCAGTAAACGCAGCAAACCCACAACAACCGAATGCACCTTCCTGGACACCAAGACAACAGAAACAGAACAATGCCAGGAAGAGGAAGACAATACAACAACCAGCAGAGAAACCCTGACCAACAAGTCACGTGCTGGGGATGCAACCAGCCTGGACATACCAAGAGATGCTGTCCAGTTAGCCCATGGCCTCAAGATGAGTCGCAAGGTCAGATGAATCAACCATGGCAACAGAGAACTCAGAATCAACAGCACCAAGACTCAGGACCGGTCAATCCATTGCGTGGTCCAGATCAAGGATACTAGGGATGCCCAGAGAATCCTATGGGGAGGAGTCAGATGCCAATGCTATCATCTAATGCTGACCAAGAACCTATGTTGCGGGTTAAAATAGAGGACAAGATTACACCCATTATGTGTAATCCATTATTATTACACCCATAATAATGGATTACACCCATTATTACACCCATCAATTAGTTACTGTTATACCCCAATTTTACCAGTTGAAAAAGCCAACAAGTCAAAGTGGAGGTTAGTGCATGACCTAAGAGCAGTTAATGAAGTAGTTGAAGATTGGCCAGCGGAGGTTCCAAATCCGCATACGCTACTGACAAATGTTCCACCTGCTGCTAATTACTTCACTGTGATTGACCTCTGTTCTGCATTTTTCAGTGTTACACTAGCGGAAGAAAGCAGACTCCTTTTTTCCTTCACTTACCAACGTAAACAGTATACATGCACTAGAATGCCCCAAGGATTTAAACACACCTCATGTTTTCAACCAAGTTTTGAAATTAGATCTGGAAGACTTAAGACCTGATAGCACATTGATACAGTATGTGGATGATTTTCTAATTTGTTTAACAACGCTGGAACAGTGCCATCAGGACTCAGTCAAAGTGCTGACCAAATTAACAGAAGGAGGCAACAAAGCCAAAAAAAATTGCAATATTGCCTGCCTCAAGTTGAATATTTGGGCCGATTGATTGCACACCAAACAAAGGCAATATCACCCAGCCAACTAGAAGGAATAAGCAAAGCACCACAACCACAAACAGTGGGACAAATGCTGACATTCTTAGGGATTACTGGATTTAGCGCTGATTGGATAGAGGATTAAGTCCCTCCAGAAAAACGCGATTATGCGATCGCTGAATTCAATGCATAATCAGCCAAAGTCCGCATATTCATGCGGGGCCGCATTTTTTCAAATACTCCTCAATTTCGCCGCATAAATTGCTGATTTCCGTGCAAAATATCCGGAGCTTGCATGATTTCATAATCCCTGCATTTTCGTCGCACAAAAGTCACATATATCTTAGCAGAAAGTTGGAAAATGTTGCGTTTGCTTCACACAAGAGCAGCCGTTTCCCCCTGTTGCCATGGGAACGTTATGAAGTGACGTAATTACGCGACGTGAACATCATCGAAAAGCTGTAAGACAGGAGCACACTTTATTTTTAAATATTTCATTTATTCATTTTTACTGAAGTTGTAGCATATTCCTCTAGTAAAGCTACAGAACTGGTTTGACTCATCAATGTTTTGTAAGTTTGATGTGTTTATTAAGGTCTTGTAACGCGTTGTGTCGGGAAGAAAAATAGGGATAGCTCACAGCTGAAGTTATTGCAGAGGCCAGACAGACTCACGGAGGCGATTGGCATCTCACAACTCGCACTTTATTCCCAAATCGAACTCGTATAACTGTCTGTCACACGTTCTACCGTCCACATCGTTACTTAATAAACAAAATAAGATAAAAGAAGTAGCATCAAACAGAAATTACCCGCACATAGACATGTGCTGGTATTCGGTAATGCGATAAATCGCGGTAATGAATATGCACGATATTGTTATCGCGGGCACTTCAAAATACCATGAAAAATAATAGATTCGAATTTAGACTTTTAGAACGCGCATTAGCTTATTTTCCATCAACCGCTTAAACACTGCGTATATGCTGCGCAAAACACGTGCGCACTCTGATGTAAACAATCCCCACATGTATAAGCACTGTGTGCATGCGGCGCAGTGCGCACTCTAGTCTAATGTAAACAATCCTCACATGGAGTAAAAGCATGGCGGAAGGAGGAACGCTGCCGACGATTGTAGGGCTGCCAACTCTCACGCATTCAGCTTGAGACTCAAACGCCTTTCAGACAGGACGCGGAACACGCGCGGGGACGTTTTGTTGCTGCGTCGACCAAAGCACGCCTGGGTCAAAGTTCAAAATAGTTCAAATTTTATTTGCAAAATAGCAAATCGCGTTGTATCTGAAGGGCAACGTTGAACCCAGCGGCCAGTGCAGCGCATTCCGCATCCTGTCTGAAAGGCGCTTTACGCAATTGACACTTTTCACACTCTCACGCAGAGAAAAATCGCGGAGCAAAGAGGACACTGACACCGACAGACTAGACAGAGCAGGTTACTTTTGATATAAAAAAACAACAACCATTCAGCTCTTAGGTTCTGTGACAGATCGCTGCGCCTCAGTTCAAGTAAACCGATCATCAGTTACTTTTTATTTAAAAATACAGTACAGCGAGGAGTATCTTGCTAAATATGTGCACTATATTACATATTTATTATATGTTTACTTGTCATTACATAATTGTTATTATAATGAAAACCGCATTGTATTTCATTTCTCTCTGTATGTTTACAGCATTATGCGAGATATATTTTTTTCTTGAGAAAAATTAACATCCAGACTGCAGCCTACCTAATATTTATCTAAATGAGTCAATATTGAATTAAGATTGAAATCAAATCCAAGAATTTAATTGAATAATACAAACAGTAGCCTACCAGTCATTGTACCATGTAAACATTGTAACATGTTGTCACTAAACTTAATAAAATTGTTTAGATACCAATCACAATCACAATTACACATTGTGATGCAAGTTGCTGTTTTTTTAGATACCCACAATCCATCTGTTTCTCTTGAGCAATTAAATATTCGTGATAATACCGTATACCGTGATAAAAGCTCAATCAATTAACCGCAGCATGAAAATTTGATACCGGCACATGCCTACCCGCACACATGGGGTGTTCGAGGCGCATGCACATACAATATAATACTGCAGACAGTTCAACAGGGAGCGCAGCTTTTAAAGGGGCCACACCTTATTTCCACTCGTTACAGTCTGAAATAAAACAAGATGAGAACTTAAATATTTCCAGCACTTTCTGTGATGTAGTACAGGTCCTTCTCAAAAAATTAGCATATTGTGATAAAGTTCATTATTTTCCATAATGTAATGATAAAAATTAAACTTTCATATATTTTAGATTCATTGCACACCAACTGAAATATTTCAGGTCTTTTATTGTTTTAATACTGATGATTTTGGCATACAGCTCATGAAAACCCAAAATTCCTGTCTCAAAAAAATAGCATATTTCATCCGACCAATAAAAGAAGTATTTTTAATACAAACAAAAAAAAGTCAACCTTCAAATAATTATGTTCAGTTATGCACTCAATAGTCAATACTTGGTCGGGAATCCTTTTGCAGAAATGACTGCTTCAATGCGGCGTGGCATGGAGGCAATCAGCCTGTGGCACTGCTGAGGTGTTATGGAGGCCCAGGATGCTTCGATAGCGGCCTTAAGCTCATCCAGAGTGTTGGGTCTTGCGTCTCTCAACTTTCTCTTCACAATATCCCACAGATTCTCTATGGGGTTCAGGTCAGGAGAGTTGGCAGGCCAATTGAGCACAGTAATACCATGGTCAGTAAACCATTTACCAGTGGTTTTGGCACTGTGAGCAGGTGCCAGGTCGTGCTGAAAAATGAAATCTTCATCTCCATAAAGCTTTTCAGCAGATGGAAGCATGAAGTGCTCCAAAATCTCCTGATAGCTAGCTGCATTGACCCTGCCCTTGATAAAACACAGTGCACCAACACCAGCAGCTGACATGGCACCCCAGACCATCACTGACTGTGGGTACTTGACACTGGACTTCAGGCATTTTGGCATTTCCTTCTCCCCAGTCTTCCTCCAGACTCTGGCACCTTGATTTCCGAATGACATGCAAAACTGAGCAACAGTCCAGTGCTGCTTCTCTGTAGCCCAGGTCAGGCGCTTCTGCCGCTGTTTCTGGTTCAAAAGTGGCTTGACCTGGGGAATGCGGCACCTGTAGCCCATTTCCTGCACACGCCTGTGCACGGTGGCTCTGGATGTTTCTACTCCAGACTCAGTCCACTGCTTCCGCAGGTCCCCCAAGGTCTGGAATCGGTCCTTCTCCACAATCTTCCTCAGGGTCCTTTCACCTCTTCTCGTTGTGCAGCGTTTTTTGCCACACTTTTTCCTTCCCACAGACTTCCCACTGAGGTGCCTTGATACAGCACTCTGGGAACAGCCTATTTGTTCAGAAATTTCTTTCTGTCTTACCCTCTTGCTTGAGGGTGTCAATGATGGCCTTCTGGACAGCAGTCAGGTCGGCAGTCTTACCCATGATTGCGGTTTTGAGTAATGAATCAGGCTGGGAGTTTTTAAAAGCCTCAGGAATCTTTTGCAGGTGTTTAGAGTTAATTAGTTGATTCAGATGATTAGGTTAATAGCTTGTTTAGAGACCCTTTTCATGATATGCTAATTTTTTGAGACAGGAATTTTGGGTTTTCATGAGCTGTATGCCAAAATCATCAGTATTAAAACAATAAAAGACCTGAAATATTTCAGTTGGTGTGCAATGAATCTAAAATATATGAAAGCTTAATTTTTATCATTACATTATGGAAAATAATGAACTTTATCACAATATGCTAATTTTTTTAGAAGGACCTGTATTTTGGATGCGCCTAGCATAGTGAACTCTTTACATGATTCGGTTCTGGCTGAAGTAGAGTCAGTGCAGCAGGGCAGATGGGTGACAGTGAGAGATCGCTCTAGTCACGGATCAAAAAACCACTCTTCCGTTTCGATTACCATAACAAATCGATTTTCCCCACTCAGTGAAACACCCACTGAGAAATCTGTTGATTGTGCCCTGGTAATTGGTGATTCGATCACACGGAAAGTGAAAATAGAGACACCAGCCACCATAGTCACATGTTTGCCGGGAGCCAGAGCGCCTGACATCAAAGCAAATTTAAAAGTGCTGGCTAATGCTAATTGTAAATTCTCTAAGATCATTATTCATGTCGGCACTAATGATGTTCGACTCCGCCAGTCGGAGATCACCAAAATTAATATTAAAGAGGTGTGTGAACTCGCAAGTACGATGTCAGGCACTGTAATTTGCTCTGGCCCCCTTCCTGTTCGCAGGAGTGATGAGATAGTTAGTAGATTGTGTTCGCTCAATGGTTGGTTGTCTGAGTGGTGTCCGGCGCTGTCCGCGTAATAATGTAGAATTCATAGAGAATTGGAAAAGTTTTTGGGGCAAGCCTGACCTGTTAAAAAAGGATGGTATTCATCCCTCCTTGGCTGGTGCTGCTCTTCTCTCTAGTAATTTGGCTCATAGTCTTAGAGCTAAAACATGACTATCTGGGGCTCAGGTCAGGAAGCAGACAGACTGGCTAAACCGACCGTCTGCTAGCGGCCTCACTTTACCAAGGTCAGATAAATCCCATCACATAGAGCCTCTTTCACCTAGATATCATCATATAGAGACTGTATCTGTTCCCCGAATTTGGAAATCCAAAAAACGTCAGGTTAAAAATGTAATTGATGTTCAACAAATAAAAAACAGATATAATACAGATGAGCAAACGATAAAGCTTGGGTTGCTGAATATTCAATCCCTTACTCCAAAATCACTCATAGTTAATGATAAGATTTCAGATTATAATCTAGATGTGCTGTGTTTGACAGAAACCTGGTTAAAACCAAACGATTATATTACTTTAAATGAGTCAACCCCACAAGATTACAGTTATAAACATGAACCTCGTCTGAAAGGCAAAGGGGGAGGTGTTGCTGTAATTTATAGTAATATTTTCAAAACCACTAAGAAATCTAGTTTTAAATATACTTCTTTTGAAGTGTTGGTTCTTAATGTAAAAATATATAGTGTAAACGATAAATCACATTTGAGAATTATGCTGGCTACTGGATACAGGCCACCAGGGCACCATAAAGATTTTATCAAAGAATTTGCGGACTTTCTATCAGAATTAGTATTGGCTGCAGATAAAGTACTAATTGTTGGCGATTTTAATATACATATAGATAATGAAAAAGATGCATTGGGATTGGCATTTAACTCTCTGGGGTCGGCGGTATCGCCGGCGATACCAGCTCACTTTTTTCCTTATCAGTGCAAAAGAGACTAAAATTACTCTGTTGATTTTGATCTTACATATAAGTGTTATACATCATTCGATTCTGTTAAGTTTGTATTTTTTTTGTGGAACCTCACAATAAAAACAAAGTGTTGTGCTTTTCGCCAAATAAAGAAAAATAAACATGATGCGCGTTCTGCGTTCTCTCTGTCAGTGAAGTCCATTCTGAAAGGCGTCCGAAAAATGAACTGTAACTAAGTCAATACTTGTCACAGAGATACGAGACATGTGTCTTTTTAAAGCTTGTATTCTCTTCTTTTAAATGAAGTAATTTATTAAAAAAAGAAATATTTCCAGTTTATGTAATCCGTTTGAAACCAAGGAGAGGTACAGTTTTTTCGTTCTCAGTTCATTATCTTTAATTAGCTGAGGCCGCCACGCCCCCAGCGCTTTTCACATGGTAAATAGGTGATCTAACGTTATGCATCGCACACTCCCAGCGCAGCGATCAAT